AACAACAACAACAACAACAACAATATATAAGTGAATAATGTGTATTCAAGTAGAGAAAAATGGATATAAGATTACACATGTAATAATATTCCTGGAAAGATACACTACAAGATAAAAAGTGGTTCTCTAAGAAAGGACAAAGAAAATTGTCCATTAGAGTCAATGGAAAATTTTTCCTATATACGGCGTTTGACGGCCTTCAGGCCTGTCTTTCATTGTTTTTGTTGAGACATTCCTCAAGGTCGTATAGCCCTGGTGTATAAGTTGCTGTACAGCGGTCACTTGTGGTTGCTGTGAGGCTGAAAACTGTGACACTGATGTGTCAAATGCGTTAATGGTTGGCTATCCAATGTGGCCAGAGAGTGGGGTGGAGCTCCCCTATTAAAACAAACTTGGAAGGAGGAGTGGCATCCACTTCCATAATAGCTTGTCTCCGGAAACCCTAGGACCCTGGAGAGAGGATGAGAGACACCCAAGCATCGAGGACTTTACTTCATGGGGTCACACTCGACGGCACTTAACAACAACAACAACAACAACAAGAACAACAACAACAACAACATGGTGTTTGAACTTATTTGTAATAGCTTAACTACCTTAATTTTATAACAAATGTACTACAAATGTGTAGCATAAGTGCTATAAAGATAAAGTGGGACAAAGAGGTAAACAATTCAAAGGAGACTTATTTAGCAATTAAACTTTAAGGACAAATTGAATTTAACTGTCTAAAGGACATCAACAACAAGTAGCTAAGGTTTGTGTAAAAATTAAAAAGCATTAAGGTATGAGGGCTATTCACCTACACAAACCTTCAGAACCAATGAATCATAGGGATGTATGTAACTGTTAGTTTACTGTACTTTATTGCTTACTTTTAAGCCTCATTTTCCCTCAAAGGCAGATTATGCCACATCAAGGAGTTTAGATTTTATTTTGAGGCAATAGGGAGCCACTGAAAATTTATAAGGAGAGTGTAATATGATCATATTTTCATTTCATATATATCACAATGATAGTACTGTAGACAATGGATTGACAAGGGCAAACAGAAGGACTACAGGAGTTCAGCTAGAATAACCATGGGGAGAATAAACAAGTGACAGTGAGGATAAAAAGGACAGATAAAAAGATATTAAGCAAGTAGATGTAAAAGCCCATGGGCCTTATTTATAAATAAGAAAAGTGCTAAAAATAAATTGTTACAATTCAGCTTTTTTGGCTTAGACAAATGAATAGATCACAGAACCATTTCTTTGCTTTTTTATTTAAATATTCTAATACTTGTATACACTCATAACCAACATTTTCACAATCTCCAAAGTCTTACTTGATTTTCCTATAAAAATTTCTACATGCTTGATATAAGAATTTGTAACTTCAAATTTTAGAGGCTTAGTGGGAGCTTTCTGGCCAAAAGCCAGTCTCTCATATCTAAAGTTCTCTTCATTTCATTTTCCATAAAGTGAATTTATCCTTGGCATAAACTACATTTAGTCTGAGAGTAGTAACTAGATATGGAAACAGACAGAGAACAAAGTCACAGAACATAGATACAGTCATAGTCACAGAACAAAGAATTGCAGAGAGGAGGCTTATCAGAGGGGCTTGAAGGGACAGTCTTTCTTAAATAAATGATACCAAATTATCTAGAAACCAAATATAATTTATCACAATTATATAATCATTTCATCTTTTTCTTTTTAATCTTAACTATCAGCCTGGCACATATTAGGTATTTAATAATGCTTAATGAAAAAAGAAATTAATATTTCAAGGGTTCCTAGGCACTTGGTATATATTGATAAATCATAATATAATCAATTAGAAATAACCCTGAAAGAAAATGTGAACCCATAAAGTTAGTGAGGATTGTAACTGCTAACAGTTTGTATCATAGTGATATTATTAACAACGCCCAGAGACAACGCTGATGAATTAAGTTTTTTAAATGAGGAAATGGTGAATTTTTAGAGCAGTTTAGTACTTTCACAGAAGTAGGTTTATTCTCTTTTTCCCAAACATTATTATATAATACTAAATTTAAGAATATACTATTCTATAGATTATGAGATCATGTCATATTAATTATAATATCTACTCTCAAATCTAATAAAAAAGCAATAGTTAACAGCAAAGACTAAATGAAAATAAATTTTTCTTTAATGTTTAGAATACATTCTGATTGACAATGACAAAAGTTAAACATAACCTAAATCATTGAAATAATTTCTTTCTACTCTGTAAATTTCCTAATTGGTCAAAAACAAGAGGTTAGTTTAGATCACCTCAAAACAAAGTTTTCAATTCACATTTCTGATGCCAAAGCATCTAATTACATAAACCATCACATTCTTAAGGAATGCAGTACAACGTTCATTTTAAGAAAGTATACTTTCTGACAGAAGAACTTCCTTTTAGATATCACTCTTATATTCAGGTAAAAAAAAGCTGGTAATAATTTAAATATTATAAGACATTTTCATATCCATCAAAAGTTTTATTCATAAAATATATCATGAAAGCGGTTGATTTTTCTTTTATGAAAAAGTTCATTTTCATCACATCATAGTATTATTTTTTTTCCCTTCCTTTAGAGGTCTTTTTTAAGAATATTGTAAACTCTTACCTGCAAGAGGTAAGGTTCCATTTGATCCAGGGTTTTTCCCAGGTGCTTATCTGGATCTAAACCTGCCAAAAACATTAATTTTTTTCTTTAGATAAGTATCAGATTGCAAGTTTAAAGACACCTAGGAAACCAATGTGTGTATACTTTGTATTGCCTTGATCCAATGTTGTTGATCCTAAAGGAAAATATAGGTGGTTAATTATCCTTGGGTAACTGATTTTCTTGCTCCTGAAAAATAAGACTCAACTCATTTCAACTGCCCTGAGTTAACTATCAGAAACATTTTAGTTCTTTTCTCCTTCAATAGTAATTACTGTTAGAATTTTTTTTGGTTAGAATTTTTTAAAAAGCATTATTTCAAAGATATGAAATTTAAATTCTTATTTGCAAACATTTCTGAGTTTATGAGTAAGAACACAAGAGTGGTAGACTGTTATGCCCACATTATTATCAGAATAAATGACATTTCATGGGGATGCTCATTTATGCAACAATATGTTTTCTAAGTAAACAAAGATAGGCCTTTACATTATTGTGTCAACAGTGTATGTCTGACCTCTGATAATTTTTCAACTGGTGTAACAGTAGGGTTTCTGTACATAAAGTAGTGCAGGTAGATAAATGTGTGGAGATAAGATCTCTTCTGGTGTAGCAGGCTACTTAAGCACTCAGGGATTTCCTTGAAAAAAATATGCCAAGGATGACTAAGAAATAAAAGAATTCATTTTAGATATTTGCATTCATGTGTACATGAATTGGCTTAGTCTCATACAAAGTTATTTTTATCTGACACTGGTTTAAATAATTCTGTTTATGAAGAAAAAAATAAACAGTATTCTGTTTCCTGTTAACCTCCCTTTTTTGGTAACATTATAATCATATATCAGAGTAAAGAAAAAGTAAAGATGCAGGGTTCTTCTGTCACTGAGGAATAAAATATATCAAACCTTAGGCAAAATAATTGAGGCACTAGATCTGTTCATACGTGGCTTTTCAGTAGGTTTTCAGAAATTATAAATCATACATGAGAAGCCTGCTTACCTTTTACCTGTGGTGCAGCTGGTGGATTAGAACTGTTTGGCTTTGGGTTGGCAGTGCAACTCCTTATCAACTAGGCCAAATGCTATGCCAGTCTTAGATTCATGCTACAATCACTAACATTAAAATTTCATTTAACTTGTGTGTTGTATGAAAGGAGAGAAGGTTAGCACTCCCCTTTACAAGGATGGAAGAGGCCCTTGAGCCTTACAACATGCATACAGTTAAGGCATTGCCACCTACTTCGTGGCATCTAACCACTGTTTGGGAGCTCTGGTGGCCTAGTGGCAAGGATCTGCAACGACAATCCCAGAAGCACATAGTTCAAATCCACCAGATGCTCTGCCGGGAAAGGAGGGACAATCTCCCCCTGTACCTGTCAGATCTGATTTGACGGTACACTCACACAAAAATAATAAAATAAAAATTAAAAAAAAAATTCATTTAACTGAGTGAATTCCTCTATTCTACTCTGTCCAGTTTCTCAATTCCTATCTCCCGTTTTTAAAGCTGCTATTTAAAAATTATAAATAAATATAATACCTTAAAATATCACCATGTAATCATTGCTCAGATTTAATAATCAAAACCTTTTCTGAAGTGTTTTGGTGGTTAAATAAATCACCACAGACTGAACAGAATTTCATAACATTTCTAATCCTAATCATTCTTTCCCCAGTTTGCTTGCTCTATCTATCTATCTATCTATCTATCTATCTATCTATCTATCTATCTATCTATCTTCTTCTATTTATTGATTAGATATTGCCAAATTAATCTAAAAAAAAACATTAATTTATAGTTCTACCAAAGCACCAGAATTTCCATGTCAACCAAATGTGAAAAGAAGTGATGTCAGATTATTAAATCTTTTTCAATTTTATACATGAGAAGTTAATTTGCATATTTACTTTAGTTCTACTTCCTTGATTACCAATAAGTATATTTTCATATGTTCTTGCCCAATTACTCATGTTGTCAGTTCTGTGAATTGCTAATCAATGACACTTATATAAATTTAATGATGAATTCTGTCTCATTTCATATTCTGAGGTTCCTGATAAGAGTTTAAATAATACACTTTATCAGTACTGTAAATATCTTCCCTAATCAAATGCTTATCTTTACATTCTTTTGGAGAAAATTTATTTTATAGTAGTAAAAAACTTAAAAAAATTTCCCCTTTACTCATGCTATGTTTAAGACTGTATAGGCGAGTCTATTGTGGTTACTGTGTGATATCAATATATTTCATTGAATATTTCTCTAATTTTTATTGACTCTCTACTTAACCAATCATGATACACAAATGTATCATACTACGTTGACCCTCTTTAATGGCTTAAAGTTTTTCTTGTATAAGTTCATTTTTTAAAGATTTCTTGGTTGGTTTTTTTGGTCTTGTTTGACTTTTAGAACTTAAATAAAGTTTGGCAAACATGCTGTCTAAATCTGAGAGGTGTTTCTTAGCATCTTTATTAATATAGAATATTAAACTCATTGTTAGAATCTTTAAAACTAGAACATTTCCATCAATTTTATCTGTCGATATTCCTTTTGTGAGACTGTATTTTCTTTCTTGGAGCACTCTACACAAATATTGCAATTTCTCAATCTAGCCTCCATAATTGCTAATTATTCTTTCATTTCCACCCCCTCTATCTCTATGTTGCATTTTAGAAAGTTACTTCCTACTTCATGAATTCTACTTTTGTTTTGGCCTATTTATTGTCAAATATTGTGAATATGGCTCAGGATAGGACAAGGTTCAGATCTGCTGATGATAGGGTTCCACCTAACAAAACATTAACGAATGCAACAACAGTAGCTTATGCTGCCACTGTTTTGTTGTTTGCTTTTTCATGACTCTACATTCTCAAATTTCAAGCCAGTCATTTTTCCATATCAATCTACTGTTTCTGTCTGGATTATTTTGGGTGATTTTTTAAAAAAAAACTAGATGCTATGTTTTGATATCTTTAAGGTTGCTTCTCATGGGGAAACTTTCAGCCTCTACTTTCCACAGGAAATAACTGACTGCATGATACTGATTTTTATGTAATAGGCCCACATGCAGAATATCTTATGTCTATTACTTTCTAAGTCTTAGGAATGCTTACAGTGTTATCAAACACACTTATACTTTTCATATGGGCTAAGCACTGAAAATTCTAAGAAGCTAAAAAAAAAAAGAAAATGAGTAAAACTTTAAAATAATACATTTTTAAAATAGTTTTTGAAATACACCAGAGATCATTTCACCACTACAGAGATTTATTTTGAAACTATAAAGTTAACTAAAATAAAAATGCTACATTTCTTTTCTCATAGCTAATAATGAAATAAACTGCACGTATAGGATTTTATAGGTTTGGTAATGTGGTCTGTAGCAAGTTTAGTGAGGGTAGTATAAGCTACTATGATTTATGGGTCTGATGCTTTAATATTTCATATAAAGCAGATGGATCAGTAACAGTATTTCACATATACAAAACAAAAGATGATTTCAATGGAAACATATAACCAAGAGAATGGGAGCACCTGAGAAATAAACAACTCTATAACATTTTAAATTTATAAAAGGTTATATTTGGTGATTTTTGACAGGTTTTTGGGAGTATAAATTATGGCTTGGGAGTTATTCTCAAATAGGACACTGTAATAAGCACAAGGAAACGGATATATCTGATCAACTTCACAAAGGGGTATTGTCCCTGGCAACAACATCAGCAACACAAAACTAATTCTCATGAGGTAAGAAATATCCCTAACACTCCTGTACCTCTTTCTACTCATCCCGACATCAATCTTACTGCTTTACTGGGTTCAAAGATCCAATGTGATAGCTCACAGATTTTACTGAACCATACTGTGAAAGCCAAAGGCTTAGGTTATTAGCAAAATATAGTCAGAATAACTTCCAGAAATATTCTTGCTGGTGCCTCATCCTTGAGTCTCGTGGCTTTAGGTCAGTTTACAAAGTTCTCAGTCCTGCCAATATTGGCTTTTTGCTGCCCCCTTTCACCCTCAGTCTTCCAACAGACATGGGCTAAAGCTCTTAGCTTAGATCTGGTTCTGTCTGAAGGAGCAGTTCCAAGGCCAGCTCCATCTCATGTTGGCTCTCTGGCATCTCATGTTGGTTTTCTGCTTCAGTTGTGCCTGCTGCTGCCATAAGGCTACCTGGTACAAGAATTTCTGGGCCCAAAGGACATGCTACATTTTCTTGCTTCTTTTTTGTTGGTGTGGAAAATTTTCCAATTCTGCTGCTTGCTCTGGTGAATTTAAGGGTGAACACTAGCGAATCTCCTTGTGGACTGACAAGTTTGGACAACCCAATTCCATTGTGTATCAGTGAAACTAGCCAATTTCCTTGTGGATAGGTTAACATGCCCTATTTACATATCCCCACCCATCCCCTTGGTAAGCTAGGAAAGCCATTTTTAACAACTCCACCGTCTTTTCCATAAATTGCTCTGCATCAGAGAGCTTGACAATGAATAAAAAGGACAGAATAATTGATGCCTTTTAGCTGTGCTGCTCCATGGATATTAAGGAGTTTCACTGCTAACCTCAAAGTGGCTCCACTCTGGTGATTTAAAAGGAACAGTTACTCCATAGGATAAAGATGGGCAATCTTCTCATACAATTTACAGCCTCTGAAAGAAAACCTGCTCAAGTGTCAGCGAAGAGTAAGTTCCAATTTTAAGGGAAATGAGTTTAAGCATTTAAGTAGAATATAATTATTTTCCCTGAGCAAGTCAAATTTTCAACAATGAAACTCCTTCTTCAAATCAGTGTAATAGTTTACATGTCTCTGAATGCATCCTTCCCTTAAATCAATACATATACTTATTTAGATACATACAGCAGGCTAGATGTTCCACAGCACTGGATTATAATGGTTTCAGGTCATTTTCTTTTGTCTTTTGGTGTCTTGCTAGTTACACCATCCAAGTGTAGTCTGCCTTTGAATTTTAAATTGTTTTAATATTTTATTGAGTAATATGTAGAGATTTCTAGTAAT